GCACATATAAAAACCAAAGACAACTTTCAAAAATATGATTTTTATGGATACCATAAACAGCAAAATCTAATATAGCATGTCCTTTAAAATGGAACAATTGCTTTAAAACTTTTTTTATTTTAAAATCATCCAGGGGCACAGAAAAGCTCCTGAACGAAGAATCACTCTTATCTAAATCTAACATGTCCTTTGTCAAATCAAAAAGTAAACATAACTAGTAAATACACAGCAGGGGATTATGATAAGCCTCATTTTCCCACTGGCTTAACAAACCCCAGCCGTTGAGTGTGCTCTCCCAGCTGGATGTAATTACACAATAACCATAACATAATAAGCACTTCCCTTGCTGGCTTTCTTTCACAAGCTTTGACCTGATAAATGTGGCTTTATGAAAGCTTACGAAAGCCATTTATCGGCAAGCCACACCTGATTGCCAAACACACAGCACAAAGCGTTTGTTTCATAGCTGCCTGGCAGGCTTGTGGAAGTACAGCTCCAAAACTACGTCTACAGCACAACATACACTTTGACACCCATACAGTCTGGTCACTCCACTTAACAAAACCACTTCACAATACGCAGCTCTCCTGGAAAAGCAATTCATGCTTGCGCAGAGAGTGTCTCTTTCTCAGAACTTGACAAAAGTAGGTCAGGGTTGTATCACGGGTGAGGTCATAGGTGAGTCGAAGCCATGTGTTCCTGATATTCTGAGAAAAGCACTCTGCTGTTTGAGTCGAGCTGCTGTGGGACTTCCTGGCAACCACAAAACCTCAGAGGTGTTTGGTTTCAGTGTGAACTGTTTCATAGCTACGGCTGATAACATAATTACCATACAGCTCATTTGTTTCTCAGATCTTAACTCTGAGTTTCATTACTTCCATTACACAAAGTCAATGAGACATGTGCAACAAATGACTGTTTGAAGTTACTGCACAGTGGTGTGCAAGAATCAAGTGTTTGTATCCATACCCTCTCCATCCTCCTGAGCCTCCTCCTCATTGCCGCTGACTCCCGATCCCTCCATCTCCTCTTCAGCAGATGGAGCGCTGGCCTCCTCGTTCTGAAGAGCTTTACGTTTACGTCTGGCCTTACGCTCTTTCTCCTACAAAAAACACAAGCACAAAAACACAACAACATGAAACCAATACTACTGACAATTATAAATAATTAATCCCTCACTCTCTGAGAACTGACCGATTTTATTTTATGCTGTTGCAGAATCTCATCCAGTTTCTGTCTCTTCTTGTAGTTAAAGTAGAAGTTCTTGCACTGGGAGACTGTTTTGGAGCCCACCATCTTGGCGATTGCGGACCAATTTCTGCCATACTGGAGCAGCCCTATGAAAGTAAGAGAAGGAACATTCTCACTTTACTAACGTAAAAACAGGAACAGAACTATGAGTGATAGAGTAACTATTGTCATAGTTATTTCAACGCACGAAAGACAATGTCATTGTCTGCATGACAACTAAAAAGTCCCTTAATTTTATTGATACAGAGAATGGAAAATGCTGATGAGACCACTATAATGGCCAGGCAGATTAATCACAATTTCATTTTAAAATAAAAAAAAAACAGCTATTTTAAACTGTAAAATTTCGCAATATTATTGATTTTACTGTTTTTATCAAATAAATGCATCCTTGGTCAGCCTTGGTTTAACAAAAAACAACAACCCCAAACTTTTTAACGGTAGTGTAGAGGTGTAGGTTTCATTTTTTTACTTGGTGTCCCACTAAGTCACATGCACTCAAAATAGGGCAGCACCAAGGCCGTTACAGTTTATATAAGATTTATATTACACAGTCTACCAGACAATATCTATCAACACACTAACACACAAGACCCTTGTGTGCTGGGTTACGGAAGCCTCAAGCGTTCCCATTTGCCCAGCCTTGCGTCGTCATTAAGAAAAATTTCAACGAAAGGTCAAAGATCATATGCTGCCGTCTGAAGAAGGAAAGTGGGGCAACAGCCTGACATGAACTGTTCCCAATCATTTAACACCAAGCTAACGCTCAGCAGACGTCAGCCAAGTCGATATGTGCTGGTTAGCTTCACATTAGGAACCTATCTTCTCCAGTCTAAATAACTGCTTTGGATTTATATCGCTAGTGACCACAATAAAGCACTACTGCCTCCACATCAAAGCTACAGGACAGTCAGTGTAGCTTGGAAAGGGACAGAGAGAATGAGATGGAGAGATAAAATGAAGAGTGTAAGTGCATGGAGCTGAATAAAAAATGCCCTTAGTGATATACAAACAAACAAAGCAAGAAATCATTTGAAGTCTGATTTGTATGCTTATCCTCACCATCTCTGATCCTTGTTTCTGTCTCTGTTTATTCTTCAAACTTCCAGTTGTTTGTCAGAAATGCACACACATCCTAATCTATGTAACATGGCAAACACACACAGACACTGCAATGCAAAGACTGCTTAAATAAAAGCTTGCATTGCAATTTATACATTACCCAGAAGTACTTCTATATAACAGGTCAAAAGTCAAGGAAACTCCATTCTTGCCCAATCCAACAAATGTCAAAGTAGCTGTTAAATCCAGTGAAGGGCCAAACACTGTTCTAAACTTCAATTTTAAAACATTGCATTTTGTCCAGTATCTCCAAATGTAAAAGTACTCCAATAAGACAATGCTGTCCAATCAGCTTTGGTAATTCAAGAGCATGTACCAATGCTACATCCAATTGAAATCCTCAGCATTGGCCCACTGTGGATCGTCCAATCAGGGTGTTGCATAAAGAAAATTTGCAGCCCACTCTTCCTCTCTTCTCTATCACTCCATCAGTCTTTTCATCTTTGCTCACATGATTTCCATGGAAATGCACAGCAGAGGCACTTGGAGCTCCAGAACAGCATGAGGAAGAGCAAGAAAGTAGAATAGAGAAAAAGGGAGTGGTTTTTTGGGAGGGAAATGAGCTCCCCATTCCTCCTCTGATAGTTGTGCTGTCGTTTCTCTGTCTCCAAACAGAGCAGCCCTTCTCTTTTTCTTCTCCCCTCTCTCTCTCTCTATTTATCAAACTCACGCGCTTTCCCTCGCCAGCCTTCTTCTGTCTCAAGGCCACAGTTTTTTTTCCACTCCTCTTCACTGGCTGCCGCTTGGCTGGAATTTAACAGCAAAGTGAAGCTGAGATGCAGTGACTCCACCTCCCTAATGCCCGTCCTCCCTCCCTCCACAACCTCATCTGATCTCTTCTATCATTCTCTCTTTTGTGCTCTCTAATGCATATTATCTGTGCCAAAACACATCTACGCTCAAACACACAAAAACAAACAGACAATGAGAGCAAGAGATTGTGGCAGAAATAAAGAGAGAGATTTGAGAGGTTTGATGTTGATATCATGAGAAAGCAGAGGGAAAGCAATTCCTCCAAACTGACCTGCTTTTCTTCTTCAATGTGACCTCTACACACAGTCCTTAACAACAGTGTGAGAGAGGGAGAAACAGAGAGGCTTGCCAAATCCTCTAATTCATGCCAACCCACAATTCAGCCACTTCCTTTCTCACTGCACTCCAACAACTGAATCTAACCACTCACTCATTGCTACAGAAAGAAAGAAACCAAAAGACAGAGAGAAAGAGAGAAAAAAAGACAAACAGATAAAAAGAAAACAAACAGAATGAAATACAGAGAAAAAAAGAAAACATAGCTGCAAGCAGCGATGACGGGCCCGAGCCACCAGTGCAACTGCTACCCTGGTGGCATCAGGAAAACGGTGCACAGCAGGCACATGCATTTACAGAAACCCTCTGACAGTCTGGTTTTAAGGGTTACAGCAATGCAAGGGTTACAATGTAACACCAAGAGTGTGAAACACAAGCACACACAGAACAATATATAAGTCTTTGGTAACACTTTACAATAAGGTTTCATTTGTTAACATTAATAAACTATATTAGTTAACATGAAACATTTATATAGCATCTATTAATCTTAGTTAATTTTAAGTTCAAAACTTACTAACATTATATATTAATATAATATATTGTTCTTTGTTAGTTCATGTTAATGCATTAACTGATGTTAACAAATGAGACCTTATTGTAAAGTGTTACCAGAACTTTTAATGATCTATAAACATTTTAATTATTTCAATGATCTATAAGCATTATTGAAATAATTATAGGAAAACTATATTTCCAGTACAGTACATATTAACTTATTTTATGTATTTGTTTGTCATTCTAACTAATGGAACTGAGCAGTAAAGGATCAGGGTTAAAAGACTTCTTATCCTATGACTATCTAGTGGACAACCTTAGTTTTTAATTTGCTGTTTTCCCCAGAAAGGGTTATTCTAGAATATCAAGAGTGTGAAACAGATACACACACAGAGAGGGTATGATTTACAAATCTTTCAATGGTCTATAACAATTGCAAAATAATTATATTAAACTATATTGACAGCACATGACATATCAACTGATTATAAGGATTTATTTGTCATTATAAGGGATGGAGAGTAAGCTAAAAAAAAAAAGATTAGTCTTAAAAGATTTCTTATCCTATGACTCCATCTTGTGGACAACCTTAGTATTACAGCCTTCACCTGTCAGCTGCAATGTCTGATCGTTTTTAATTTGCTGTGAGCCCCCAGAGCAGAGTAAATTTATTAAACTAAGCATGTTTCCTCAGAATTACATGTTCTCCATATGTAAAAAGGGTTGAAGTGTTTGGATAATGCACTTTAAAGATATAAGAAAATGACTGTTTCCTTTTTTACTGTTGTTTTAATAAATCGCCATGGCAACACCGTTCAAGATATCCAACATCCGTTCACAATTTATCATCTTCAGTATCTTGGCATCATGATGAGTCTCTGCCCGCAGATTCCAAGGTGTGTGCCAATTTTGAAGAGCTTTTGAGCATGTTAAGGGCCCCAAAATCCCCAAAAACCTTGATAAAAAATAAAAATAAAGAACAACAAGAGTAACCCTTAGAAAAACAATAGGGCCCTTCGCCCCCTTGTGGCTTGAGCCCTAATGAAGAATGACAAATAAAGAACTAGGGCTGCCCCCTAATAGTCGACGAGAAGAGGTTTAGTCGATCAAAATTTTATTAGTCACTTAGTCGCAGAGAAAAAATAATAATAATTCCACAGAAGTGGTGAAGTCATGTAGTCCGTGACAGTCAATGAACGAAGGTCTTATGGATTTGGAATGACACGAGGGTGAGTAATTAAAGACAGAATTTAAATTTTTTGGTGAACTTTCTCTAACTTGGGGGTAGGCCTGTATATGCAATAATCAATATATCGACTTGTCGCGCAATATATGTACATGACCTCAATAATTTTTGGTGACACAATATATCACCCATTATATTTACTTAAAAATTAATGTCACCATGTTTTGTACATTCCACTTGTGTCTGTGTCTTTTGCAGCTTCTCGTACATAACGTGGTGTAGTCATGAGGTGCTAGTTCAAATTTAAAAATGCTTCTACAAACAAAATTTCATCTGCAGATATGGTTTTGTTTAGGGATCTGTGCCTTTGTGCATACGGACATCTGACTGCTAAGTAGTGATTTTTCAGCAATACTGTGCACCCTTAATTTACAGAGAAAAGAAGGTCCGGGAAAAATCTGTAGATGGAAAAATCCTAATGAATGTCGCAATTATTTTTGGGGCAATATATCGCACAACAAAAAGGTGTTATCGTGACAGGCCTACTTGGGGGCACCGGTGCGATCATTTGCATTTAACTTAAAATACTCTGTCATTTTTGCTCATACAGAGTAATACAGCTTTCTAATTTGTAAAAGATTTACTTTTATTTGTTTGCACTCACAATAAAAAAACGTTGTGCTTTGCAAAATAATGAAAGCAAACAGGGTGTGCTTTCTGCCATCTAGGTCTCAGTGAACTTGAGCACATCAAAAAAAAATTAACTGAAACTCTGTGCTTGTGTAACAGACATGAAAAATATATCTATAGAGAATGAAATGTCTACTTTTAAATTAATTCAAATGGAAAACAAATATTTTCAGATTATTTGTTGATGGTTTTTAAAGCTCTGCATGGTATTGCCCCAAAATATATTGTTTACCTTTTGATTCCTTATCAAAATACAATGAGATCCTCGAGTCAGATGATTCTTCATGTTCCTAAAACTAGATTAAAATCAAAGGGTGATAGGGATTTTGCGCCTGTGTCTTTTGCAGCTTCTCGTACATAATGTGGTGTAGTCATGAGGTGCTAGTTCAAATTTAAAAATGCTTCTACAAACAAAATTTCATCTGCAGATATGGTTTTGTTTAGGGATCTGTGCCTTTGTGCATACGGACATCTGACTGCTAAGTAGTGATTTTTCAGCAA